ACACACACACACACACACACACACACACTCACACACACATCCGGCGCAACTCACCGGCCTCGTTACTGAGTGGATCTCTGGCTCCTGTGGCGCATAACTGATACATGTCTTTCCTCTGATCCACGATCCACAGCGGCAGCCTCACACTCCCGCAGCCCGTGGAAAGAGTTGAGGAACGCGGATAAACCACGCCCAGGAACTGGCGTCAGCCGAACCTTCGAATTCTACTACGGCGAAGGCTCAGCTCATTAACATTAATGACGTAAATTTACGTTAGAGCGGTAGACGCACCTAATTGGCTGATAGAGACTCTCTGGGCCATAGTCTGATGGCTTAACGAATCTTTTCAATTTAATGGAGCTTTATTTGCATGGCAATAGATATACAATCTTATATACATATTATATATTATACTGAATATATCTTATATATTATTATTATATATTGTATTATTGTTGTTGTTGTTTACAAATTGCAAAAAGCAAGTATAAAAAGCATCTACCAAATGCATAAATGTAAATGTTATTATTACTATTATTAGAATATTAACTTTAAAAGAGAACAATTTAATTTTATTGTATGGTCCTCTTCTTTAATGATATGTTTAAAATGTTATCAACCTCTTTTTAAGATTTTTTTCCCTTTTTGTAGTCAAGTCAAGTCAAGTCACCTTTATTTATATAGCGCTTTTAACAATACAGATTGTGTCAAAGCAACTGAACAGCATTAATTAGGAAAATAGTGTGTCAATAATGCAAAATGACAATAGTAAACACTCATTTTTCAGTTAAAGACAGTTCATCATTGAATTCAGTGATGTCATCATCCAGCTCAGTTCAGTTTAAATAGTATCTTTGCAATCATTTGCAATCAAGTCAACGATATCGCTGGAAATGAAGTGTCCCCAACTAAGCAAGCCAGAGGCGACAGCGGCAAGGAACCAAAACTCCATCGGTGACAGAATGGAGAAAAAACCTTGGGAGAAACCAGGCTCAGTCAGGGGGCCAGTTCTCCTCTGACCAGACGAAACCAGCAGTTCAATTCCAGGCTGCAGCAATGTCACATTGTGCAGAGGACTCATCTGGTTCCTGTGGTCTTGTCCCGGTGGTCGTCTGAGACAAGGTCTTTACAGGGGATCTGTATCTGGGGCTCATCTAGTTGTCCTGGTCTCCGCAGTAATTTAGTGGGTACAGGATCTAACAGGCATGTTGTTGGTTTAGATGCAGTGATAAGTTTATTTAGCCCTTTTTGTAGTGACTTTTCCTACATTAAACCAAATATGTTGCCAAAAGTATTGGGTCACCCTCTTCTAATGAACAGGTTTGACTACTTTAGTAATTTCCACGAGTACAAATCTTAATGTTTAAGCATTCTAACACGACAATGCCTCTGTGTATAATTCAAGGTTCAAAAAGAAATGATTGATTCAGTCAGTGTGGAAGAACTTGACAGGTCTGCAGAAAGCCAGCTGAACACCTCTGGTGTGACTTTAAATGCAGACCTTGAGCCAAAAACTCATCACCAAACACCAATGACTTGTGGACAAAAGTATTAGGACACACCCTTCTTTAGAACAGAAAAAGGCACTTCCAAAACTGTGGCGACAAAGAGGAAACATAATTCATGTATTTAAAAATATCTCTGTTGCAACAGTTTTAGAAGTGTTTAAAATGACTGTACCCATATGTACAAATCATTGGTGTTTGGAGATGAGATTTTGTCACTCCTTCACACTAGAATATCATTATATGCTTAAACATTAAGATTTGTACTCATGGAAATTATTAAAGTAGTCAAACCTGTTCATTAGAAGGGGGTGTCCCAATACTTTTGGCAATACAGTGTATATCCAGCATACACATTAATTGGCATTCCTTTTTGAAGGCTGTGATTATGAATATTTAATTAGGTTACGTGACGGACGCTGCGACAACGTTACTAAGCAACGGCAGCGTGGGTCACTTAATATTCAGGAGCCAGATCTTCGCCATAGTAGGCCATGGAGCTGCGGCGCGTTGAGTGGAGCTGCGCTGATACAGCACGAGCGGGCGTGACTGACGCAGCGCGGAGCGGACGCTGCAGACTATCCTTCTGCGATGAAGGTCGTTTACTGCAACCGAAGGAACTGTCGCAAGACACAGACGAGAAGAGCCACAACTGTTGAATAACGGAAAGTTACTATGACATCATACATTTTCGTGTATTTACTAGTACGATGATTGTATATATAAGTCATATATATGGACCATATATATATATATATCAACATAAAAAAAAGTATAATATAAGAATAAATAATAATATTTGGCCAGGAAAGCAGCAGAGGAAATGTTACAGTCACACCCAAAACAACCTAATCATTTAATAATGATCACATTGTCACACGTTATATTACATGTATAAAAATGTGATCATTATTAGATGATTAAGTGTAATGTGTATGATCCTTTTTGTTGTTCTCTGGGATGATTTTAAAGAAACAAAATGTCTTCTTTTTCTTCAAAAACAATTATTTTACATTTTAATTTATTTATTAAAAATAATCAAATATCTAGATACCAAAGTTCAAGCTAAATATTACATTAAATATTATAAAAAATATATAAAACAACTGAATCTCATCGTTTATTGAGAATATTTTTTTTCTTAATTTGAATAATAATATTATTTTAATAATATATTTTATAACATATAACATAACATTAACACGGGGAAAAACATACTTTTGCGTCTTTCATCTCAAATTGATGTAATCCACATGTCACTGGCGGATAAACATGATGGGCGGGGCTTCGGTGCGTCATCGGCAAGCGACGAGTGATTCAACTCGCATATGACAAATATGACATTTCAGCGTCAGTAAAGAGATTGCTTGTGTTTAAACAGAACAGTTAGCACATAATGACTTCTCGATTATGTTTCTTTTTATTCAGACCGAGAATTCCCAGATCACGTGGTGCGGTACCCAAAACATCATGTAGTACTGCTAGAGGCAAACATGAGGAGGCACAGAAAAGAGCTCCGAACACCTTACATTTCTCTCATTCGTTACTGGGGACTTCTGTGTCACACAGCGGAGGCAGATTGAGTTTCTGCAGGAGCTTCACAACTTCTGGAAGCAGGACTGAAGCCATTGGACAGCTGCAGTCAACACACTATCACCTGGTTTACACCTGCAAAGTAAGATTATACTTCTTCTGTCTGTGCTTGACTTCTTATTTAGGGGAACTTTTGACTACTTAGGTAATGTTCAGTCATTTAATTTTATATTTTGTCTCTAGGTGTGCTCCACCCGCTCTATGAAGAAAATATCCAAGATAGCCTATCACAAGGGTGTTGTCATTGTAACTTGCCCTGGCTGTAAAAACCACCACGTGATCGCTGATAATCTGAAGTGGTTCTCTGACCTGGAGGGGAAAAGGTGTGTATGTTTGAAGCCCTAAACACACTGCATGATTTTCGGCTGTCCCAGACGAAAGATTGACATCGGGAAACAATTGTGGCTCCTAATAGGTGCTCTTATGTCATACAGTGAGTGAGGTTCAAAGACGACTGTTGTTGTCACGAAGGTCAACGGTCAAAGATAGCCTACGATTCAGCATGATCATCGCACAGTGTGTTTGCTGCTACGATCCAGGTTTACTGACCACCCAATAAAAATGCGACATGGCGCTTCAACATAAAACTGCTTGCCTCAAGCTCTTATCCCTTCCTCTTTCACCGCTTCCACTTTTTTTCAGCACACACAAAAACTACAACTGCTAAAGTGTGATTTATCATGCTAGCGCATGCATCGTACAGTCTACACACACGTCGAAAACCCCCATTTAAAATGTATTTTTATTTAAAATTAATTATACATGTGCAAAATATTGTTTGAAATGTTTTCGTTTCATTACATTACAGTATTATTTCTACTAACTATAGTACTGTACTGCTAGATTTATTATTTATTTTAAACTAATTTTTATTATTTATTTTAATCTAACTTAATCCCCTGGGCCCCGAGTTGGAAAACCCGAAGCATTATGACAAAAACTTTGACTTGCTGTATGTTCTGTGTTGCCATAGAAACATAGAGGAAATATATTTTAATCTAACTTAATCCCCTGGGCCCCGAGTTGGAAAACCCAAAGCATTATGACAAAAACTTTGACTTGCTGTATGTTCTGTGTTGCCATAGAAACATAGAGGAAATCTTGGCTGCTAAAGGAGAATCAGTCCGAAGAGTTCAAGGGGACGAGGCCCTGGAAATTTTTGCAGGGGAATCAATAAAGGAGGCGTCAAGAAATAATCCAGATGATCCGAAACCAACACATCTGAGCGATGATTCAGACAAAACATGATTGACATTTGTCAATTGCATCACTGGACATTTATTATTGTTATATTTTTCTTAATAAAGCATTAAAACAACCATCTAATCACTTTGGAGAAGTTGTTTTTAAGTGTTTGGTCCCCCCTTGTGGTCACTGCAACATTTTCACTTGAATGATATTTTCAAACTCGTCACACTTTATCAGCGACCTTCGACTGGTAAACATGAATACAACTAAATCAATACTGTTATTGCAACACCTTTTCGCGTTTGTTTACGAGTTACATATGTATATATTAATATATTTATGTTTTAAATATATTTTATTTAAAAAAAAAAGTTATTTTTTTCCCTTTCAATTAAAGGGAAATGTTTGTTCATTTAAAAAAAAGAACTTAAAATGAATCAAAAAAGCAGAAATACAAAATGTTTGAAGATGGTTTGATTACACTATTTGATTACACGTTTCGTGGACTTTGCGTAGCATGCTGTGACGCAGTCACGTTCAGAAGCGAAAACAGGTAGAATGGCATCAACAAACATGCACAGGATGGGCGGGGCTTAGCGATCGGGATAAAAAATATTTTTCCTACTTCAGTTCTATACAATCTATTCTCAGTTCAACATAAATGAAAGTTTATCAGTATCATTTCTCAATTGTAAATTATTATCTAGACTGCTGAAGAAACATCGCATAGACAGTCACATGACACCTGTTACTTTTCTCAGCGCTGCACCAAACGGACCAATCACAATCGTTAGCAGTTACTACCTCGGCTGCTTTAAAACCGCATTCTTCTGAAGCGGTTTCCACTCACATGTCAGGAATCAATCGCGGACATTTGTAGATTTAAAAGATGATACTTTCTAATCTACAAATGTCTCCAGTAAGACAAAACACGTCATGACATTTGAATGATCCTCAATGGGGACTCGCCCTTCTGAGTCACCTAGCGCCCCCTGGAGGAACAGAAATGTTAAACATTTACTAACTATAGTACTACTTATCGGCCGTGGCTGATAGTGAAACTAGGCTGTAATCGATCATACGCCGCCCTGACAGCCTCCAACTGGTGACCGATCATCTAAAGAACGAGTTTATGCATTCACCCGGACTCCATACTTGAAGAAAACGCCGTTTTTGTTACTGTACCAGCATGAATTCAGCCGGACTGCTGTGTGAAACTGAGCGGCCGCGGCACAGTCCTTTCCTGATCGGGGTGAGCGGAGGAACGGCCGGCGGAAAGGTACGAAACACTACATGCATGATGGAAACTGATGCATATTGCTGTTATAGGCGTTTTGATGCATGCAAACCAACTGTTTTCTTTTAGCCAAGTCACAGTCAACCTCTTTTGTGCCTTAAATATATAGTGCATGTTTGCATTTCAGTGAAATGCATGCAAGAACAGCATGCAAAATGTAATTACAGACAGGGAAATGTAGTAATTTTTCACAGATAACCTGTAGCAATAGCAACAGGCCCTTGTATTAACATATAGTGTCCTCTTGTATCAGCATCTGGAATGATATTCAGGCTGATGCAATTGCAAATAGACACTACTAGATTGTCAGTCCAGGACAGTAACGGCTGTTTTTCTCCTGTCAGTCCACAGTGTGTGCAAAAATCATGGAGCTTTTGGGTCAGAATAAGGTGGATCATCACCAGAGGAAGGTCACTATCGTCAGCCAGGACAGTTTCTACCGGGTTCTCACTCCAGAACAGAAGGCCAAAGCTTTGAAAGGCCAGTACAACTTTGACCATCCAGGTAAAAAACAATAAGGAATAATTCAACCGTGTGTAAAGATGCTGTGATTTGATATTTATGTCCTTAAAACACAAAGCCATTGCAAGAAAAGTTCAGGGAAACAGATGCGGAACGACATGAGGGTCATTAAATGTCGTTTTTAACCCTTTAGGCGCCAGGGATTTTGGGGGGAAATGCTGGATTTTGACATCAAGATTTCAAAAGCTTGTGGCTTGAAAGGGCTTAAAGATAGAGATCTACTGTAAATTAGAAAAATGTTGGGCATGACCGAAAGTTCACGTGGGGTGTAAATATACTCGTCTAATTTGCATATTATGACGTCACCAGAGGCGGCCATCTTGAATTTCATAATATTCAGGAAATAGTAGATATTGAATTGATGTTTGAACTTATTTGCATGTTTTTTTTTTGTCTTTTTATCCTCATTCCAAATGATCAGAAAAGAGGAAACCAACAATAAAACAGGAGAAAGTACTAAATTACCAACAGGCTCATCAAAGCGTTTGATCCAGTCCTGATACACTTCTTAATTTCTCAAATAAGCCCAGCCACCACTGTCATCGCTATTTCCAGCCCTATTTAGATCCAGATCACCCCTGCTGCCTCTACCACGTCTCCCGGCTCTCCCACGCACAGCACGACCACGTCTACCACAGCCACTCCCACCTCTTTGGGGCGCTGGATCCAAAGGATATTACACCATATTAGGAACTACAGTCTATTTTATTAAGTACGACGTCTTGTCGCAATTTTGCGACTTTGGCGCTTAGAGGGTTAATGCACTATTAAGTTTTCTCTCTCTCAGATGCGTTTGATACGGAGTTAATGTGTCAGACGCTGAAGGACATCATAGAAGGAAAGGTGGTGGAGGTTCCCACGTATGACTTCGTCACCCATTCCAGGCAATAAGACACGCTTTTCCCTCATAATGTTACGTTGAGCACTGACACACTTTCTCTTTATGTGTACTTTGATAGCGTGTGTTTGTCTGACTGTCGACTGTGTGTGTAGGCTGCCAGAGAAGATATGTGTGTATCCTGCTGATGTGGTGCTGTTTGAGGGGATTCTGGTGTTCTACACACAGGAAGTCAGAGACATGTTCCACATGAAGCTGTTTGTGGACACAGACTCAGACGTACGCCTGTCTCGCAGAGGTAATGCACAAATTATCGGTAAATCAAACGGATCATACCAAGTCATTTCTGTGCAGTAGAGAGAACCTTTTTATGTATTTTATATAATAATATTTTTTATAGCACCTTTTATTATTAAAATGCATTTTTACTATTGAGACCAGTTTTTTTGTGTGCTTGGAAACTGACACTTTTTTAGGATTCTTTGATGAATAGAAAGTTCAAAAGAACAGCATTTATTTAAAATAAAGTTTAAATTACTTAGTCTTTTGCAACATGTCTTTACTGACAGTTTTGATCAATTTAATGTTTCCTTGCTAAATAAAAATATTAATAATAAAAAAAATCTACTAATCTTACTGACCCCAAACTTGTATATTTATTTAATTTAGTTTTCAGTCAAAATTTCATATCTTTAATTTTAATTTGATGGAAATATAAAATATTAATCACCCTAGCTGTATGTTGCCTGTATAACAGCATGTTTTTTGTGCGTTTAGTTCTGCGCGACATGAGAAGAGGTCGAGATCTGGAACAGATTCTCACGCAGTACACCACGTTTGTTAAACCAGCCTTTGAAGAGTTCTGCCTTCCGGTGAGAAAACACACATAACAAAAGCTGAACTGACATTGGATAGTTGTGTTATAGTTATATGATGCATTCATGACATCTGAAATCTCTCTCCAACCTCAGACCAAGAAATATGCAGATGTCATAATACCTCGTGGAGTTGATAACATGGGTAAATATGAGTCAAAAGGCAATAAATGTTCAAAAATAAACCTTGGTTTTCTAAACTGTTGCTTCTCTTTTGTCTTTTGAATCTTCTTTAGTGGCAATAAACCTGATTGTGCAGCATATTCAGGACATCCTCAATGGTGACATCTGCAAATGGCAGAGGGGTTCTGTCAATGGACACGCCCACGGGCGGAGTCTAAAGAGGGGCGTGGCCGAACACAGCGAGAAATCTAGCGGAGGCGGGAGCATGCCGGTGAAACGCCCCCTACTGGAGCCCAGCACACGACCACATTAACACACACAGAAGAGAGTCATACGATCAAAAAACCCGAAAGCTTGAATTTTCTGCATGCTTCCAACACACACATCTCTGTCAGGCTCTCTTTTCATAGAATTAAAAGGAATATTTTTTCCAAAAATTAGAATTTGATGAAAATGATCACACTCTCAGGCCATCCAAGATGTAGATGAGTTTCTTCATGGGAAAAGATTTGAAAAAAAATGTAGCATTGCATCACTTGCTCACCAATGGATGCTCTGCAGTGAATGGGTGCCGTCAGAATGAGAGTCCAAACAGCTGATAAAAACATCACAATAATCCTCAAGTAATCCACACCACTCCAGTCCATCAGTTAATATCTTGTGAAGTGAAAAGTTGCGTGTCATCAAGTATAATGGCTTTTTAACACACTGCCTTGTCTAGATCATAAACTCCTGTTTGGTCAGGATAAGACAGGAAATGAATGAAGTAAAATACTTCTTGTGAATTACAGTGATTTAAAATATTAATCTCACTATCACTTTATTTTTAATGTTCTGTATAATTTATGTTGTTCACCTCACTCTGTAATTTGTTGCTAAATGTGAATATTTTAAAATGGTTCTTTATTTGTAATCAGATTTTGCATTTTTCTTGTACAAACCTTTTTTAAACATTAAAGAGAACATGCTTATGTTACTAAACGTCTAATTCTTTTTTGTACATTTTACATTGTGTTTCATAAAAGAAATAGTGTCAGATAGACGAAATAATGAAAATTCATTTCATTTATTTGTACACTGTTTTTCATAGTACTATGAAAAGCACTATACAAATGAAGGTGATGATGTAGCATAGTAATAGATGGAAATTAGGGGTGTAGCGGTGCGCGTATGGTGTACCGAACGGTTCACGGGGCAAATTCCAAATGGAAGTGATCATTCCTATCCCTTTGGAGTGAGCAGGGCACGTGCGTGCCATTATGTAGTAGTTTGGAATGCACTTGGCAAAGGGAACGATGTAATTTCCTCATTATCTTCAGCTGGCATGTTCCTGTGACAACGCAGCGGTGTCCGTCAGCAGATTCGCTGATGGACACCGGCATAAAAAAAATATCAATTTTATATTTTAAAAAGTTTTATATATAATATTTTTTATATATTATATAGCATTTTTAAAAACTTTTTAAAATATAAAATGTATGTTTATTTGCAACAGTTATGCTAACAACAATAAAAAAAGACATTTATGACATTAAAACAGAAGTGCTCGGCAGAAGTGCATATTGAGGGTGCATAATGGCCGCAAAGGGGGTGCTCGGGAGTTCGGTACACGATACGTGTACCGTTACACCACTAATGGAAATACCATGGTACTTAAATGACTATTTACACATAAATACCATTGTGTATGTCCGAGAAACATGCTATTAGTTCAAGGTATGTGGTAGTATTGTACCATAGTACTGATTCTGAATTTCCAAAAAGAAAAAAATACTATCCACAAAGAAAATCATGGTATTACTATAACGTGATAGTACCATGATAGTAACTTGATAAAGATTGATTACCCTATTCATTGATCATGATATTTACATAATACTCCAAGATACACTATTGTTGGATAGTTTTGGGTCAGTAAGATTTTTCAATGTTTTACAAAAATGTTTGTCTCTTCTGCTCACCAAAGCTGCATTTATTTGACCAAAAAATACAGTAAAAAGTAATATTGTGAAATGTTATTACAACTTAAAATAACCATTTTCTATGTGAATATGCTAAAATGTAACTGATTGTGGTGATCAAAGCTGAATTTTCAGCATCATTACTCCAGTCTTGTATCACATGATCCTTCAGAAATCATTCTAATATGCTGATTTGCTGCTCAAGAAACATTTCTGATTATTATCAATATTGAAAACAGCTGTGCTATCGAATATTTTAGTGGAAACCGTTATGCATTTTTTTGATGAATAGAAAGTTCAAAAGAACAGCATTTATTTGAAATGGAATTCTTTTGTAACATTATAAATGCCTTTACTGTCATCTTTGAACAATTTAATGCACTGCTGAATAAAAGTAATAATTTCTTTAGTAATGGTACTAGTATGGCACTTTTTGTAGGTGTAAACGTGCTAAATGTAGAGTTGGAAAAATACACATACAATACAAAGAGCAGTTTTATTGGTGGTTGAATATACAGGATGTTATAGGTATAACAGGGAAAAAAATCCCAGAAGTCGGTAAACATCACAGACCTACCCCTTACAGGAAACTTTCTGCATTTTTAGATTTTCAAAAAACTTCATTCTGTGTGATTTATTAGCTTATTTACCCGTGGGGACCTCAATTTAGGTCCCCACCGTGACACGAGTCCCCCTGAGTCTGTGTGTATTCAGGTTTAAGTCCCCACACACACACACACACACACACACACACACACACACACTGAAGAAAGCAGCTTCAGCATCCCTTCTCCCATATGTGAATAACGACGTTCTGTAGAAAAACCACATTCTCACACACACACACACACACACACTCTGATGCCCAGAGATTACAGCATATTCAGTCCTCGTGTTATTTTAGTGCATGACTCGTTTGGTTTGAAAATATATTTCCTCTGCCCTCTCTACATGATGGGAGATTATACATCACAACTGTACATGTACATTTATACAGAACATATCATACACATCCCAAAAAACAAAAAAACATCCACACGCACGGTCAAACTGAGCCCCGCCCCTCTCTGTGATATCACAGTCTGCTTCGGTAAATGTTAAGGTCATTTTTTGCAATAAACAAAAGCTACAAAAAATATAAATTAGATTTGGATGAAGAAAAAAAGCCATTAAGTTTATTTTTTAAATGTTTTTTTGCATTATGACACTTTATTCATAACAATTAAGCTCAAGATTATATATATATATATATATATAGCTCCAGCCTTATTCATAAAGCATGAACAATTTTCGTTGTGATTTGTAAAGCTTTTTTATGCATTGAATAATTTAATGATTTTCTGTTTGAATCTTTCATAAACCATTTTCATGTAAACTTGTGAAAAAATTGCATAAAGGCTTTATGAAAAATGTAAATTTTTTTAAATTTATGTTTTCATTTTATGAATGTGACCCATTTTTCTGCTTCAAATTAAGATCAATTTAATTCACAGTACAACAAATACTACCATTATATTTGTACCTTACAAATGCACTTTACTTTTTAATAAGTATTGATTTTACTAATTAAATTGATTTTAAATGAACATTTATATTTTTATATTCATGTATTTTTTAATGTAATAATTATTTTTTGCATTTTGCAAGCTACTGAGAATTGGGAAGAGAAAGAAATGTGCATGAAAAGAAAAAGTCATGAAAATAATGTCACAATTTAAAATTTTCTTTATTTTAAGGTAAAAAAGCACGTTCTTGATTTATTTGGAAAATCGAGGGGCTGTCAGCCATGTGACGGGGTAAACAGTTATAATGAGGGGTGCACATGATCACACACAAAACAATATAGCAAGATGATGTGAAAAATTAGTCCAAATGTCCAGTTCATTCTTTAATTTTCAAATTAATATATTCCATATATTCCATTACTCACCGCGTCTGTCAAAACATATTAATTTCAACAGATCAGTGAATATTCCTTATAAAACGCTTATAAGATTGCACACATGTCTGCCCGTTTCCCAATCGACCCATTTCCAAATGGGCGAATCATAGGTTGAATCAGACCTTTGGAAGGTCACACGGTACGTCCGAGCGGGACAAACAAACACGAACTCACTCCATCAGGCACAGTGTATTAATATCAAATGATCCAAGCCCTCTTAGAGCGTGTCTTTCTGTACAGCCACACATCAACACACGCAAACATGGAAAGTTGTGAGGATTTAGCTTTATATCACAGCGTTGGGGTCCTCTCGAGCCCTCTGTGCGCGCGCGAGTGCATATCTGTATATCTATACTGAATTGGGATTCCCCTCGTGAGTTTTTAAAGTCAACAGTCAGGGAAAAATACTGCCAATGTCTCAGTTTATTGGTGCAAATAGGAGCTTGCGTGTGTTGATTCAGCTCCAGAACCGGATTAAGAACTCTAGCGTGGGTTCCCAAGGTTCTGCAGGAGGTTCAGGTCTCACCGTAAATTGTCTCTGAGGTTCTAGATTTCAGGTTCTAGGTCTTCTCCTCGCGCTCCGTCCTGCGCCGCGAGATGTTTCGTGGTTTGATCTTGAGCGAGAGCTCCCATAATGCCTCCTCTGCCAGGTGATCGCTAAAGTCGTTGAAGAATGAGACGATGTCTTCATTCCGTTTCAGTTCGTAGTGTCTACAAAGACGATTAAAGATAAAAATTAATAATGGAACCAATTTTTTAAATCAGTTACTAGTGAAATCTGCAACTGATATATGAAATGTGACCCTGGACCACAAAACCAGTCATAAGTAGCACAGGTATATTTGTAGCATTAGCCAAAAATACATTGTATGGGTCAAAATTATCGATTTTTCTTTTATGCCAAAAATCATTAGGATATTAAGTAAAGATCATGTTCCATGAAGATATTTTGTAAATTTCCTACCGTAAATATATTAAAACTTAATTTTTGATCAGTAATATGCATTGCTAAAGACTTAATTTGGACAACTTTAAAGGTGATTTTCTCAATATTTAGATTTTTTTTGCACCCTCAGATTCCAGATTTTCAAATAGTTGTATCTCAGTCAAATATTGTCCTATCCCAACAAACCATATTTCAATAGAAAGCTTATTTATTCAGCTTTCATATGATTTATAAATATCAATTTCGAAAAATTGACACTTATGATTGGTTTTGTGGTCCAGGATCACAAATGTATACAACATTAAATATTAATCAATAATCAATTTTATAATAAACTAATTCATAATAATGTGCATAAATAAAAATCGTATACTTTAAAAAAACACATAGTTCCAGCTCTAAAATATATGGGGGAAAAAAATAATGTTTTCGTAAATCATAGTTATACATGTTTATCTTATTTCGACTTTTCGAATAGTTTGTTTTTTCTGGCCATAATCGTTCATAATTCTGATTCTTTATTTCGTAGTGACTCAGTATCTCAATTTTGAATTTCTATGTCATAATTATGCCTTCTTATGTCAATTTTGACTTGGTGGAAAATTACTGACTTGGTCATAATTATGTTTTTTGTCAATTTCATCATTTAATCTCATAATCACTCAGTATCTCAATTTCGACATATGTCATAATGACTTTTAATGATAATTTTGAGGTTTTATGTCAAAATTGTGCATTTTATGTGATAATTATAACTTTTTCATAATTGTTTTTGTCAATGTCTTTTGTCTTTTTATCTCTTGACTCTTGTATCTCATAACTTTGACTTATGTTATTTTCATGTCAATTATTACTTTTTGTCATAATCATGGCGGTCATAATTGTGTCATAATTATGACTGTCATAATAAATATGACTGCCATTATTGTTTGTCAATTTTGACTTTTTATCTCATAATGACTTATAACTTGACTTATAACTGTTTTTTTTTTACTTTTTATGTGACAATTGTGCATTTTCTGTCATAATTATGACTGTCATAATTGTTTTTTTTTTTGTCATCACTTCAACTTTTTAACTCATGTTAATTATTTTTGGGTTCAGTATCTCAAAATTATGACTTTTATGCAATAATTATGATTAACTAATTAATTAAATGATGTTTAATTTGACCACGGTCTTTCATGCCTCGTTGCTTCATTCTACAAGTCTGTTAGAGCAAAGTCTACGGCAGAGTTTTGGACTGCAGCTTGAATCGCATATAATCTAATCTCATGTTCGTCAAACGCTGGGTTTCAGACCAGCAGATTACTCACACTTGCTGGAAGCGTCTCATGCTGTCCAGAATGTTGAACTGCTGCCAGCGCTTGGAGAAATTCACTTTACCGTCAATAAAATCCGGGTTTCCGAGGTGAACGAAAGTCAAGTCCTGTAGGATCAAACCCCTGTCAACAAAACAACATTATTAGCAAAACTAAAACATGGAACATTAAACAATCTTCAATAACTGGCATGTATATATAATTCACATCAGATTAATGCAGTTTTGAATGTTTATTTTTATTGATAAATTTTTAATTAGCTATATTTTAGTTGAGTTGTTTTCAGCAGTGAAATGAGTTACTGTTTAGTTTTATTTAATAAAGTAATTTTTTGTTGAAATTCAGCAGACGTGTAGAAAACATCAGATGGGCATGTCAGTATTTGTTATTGGCAACAAAATCTATTAAAAATCAGTTTCAGTAAATAAAATAAAATGAAAAAGTGGAAAAATAAGATGAAAAACTTTAACTTAAATGAAAATGAGAAACATTGCCTTGGCAACTAACTAAAATAAGTTTCTTGAAGAAATAAAATGACTAAAAATGACTGAAATAAAAATAAAGCTTAAAAACCTAATAAAAAAGGACAAAAGCACAAAACAAAATGACTAAACTTTAATCTAAAATTAAAACGAAAACTGAAAATATGAAATTAAAAGGTCATTTAAAATATTAATAAATACATAAATAATACTAAAACAACACTGGTGCTTAAAAACAGTTTGTTGTAGAAATAAAATGAATAAAATGACTGAAACAAACAAAGCTAAATAAAAATTAAAAATTAAAAATAATAAAAATGACAAAAGCACAAAACAAATTTACTAAAATTTAAAATGAAAATATAATAATTAAAAGCTAATTTAAAATCATAATAAATACTATAATAATACATAAGTAATACTAAAATAACACTCGGGCACATATTTTTATGCAGGTCAAAATTCAATGTCATGAACCTCACAAAATTAGTCAAACCAAGGAATTTGTGCTTCTCTGACTATCAAAAGCTGCGAAACGGGCAGATTTCACTAGACAGTCCTTGGCACTAGACAAGCCGTCTTTAATGAGCACAAAATGCTTTATTTGCCGATTCATTACTTAATTTCAGTTCATTTTCTGACTCCTGTTTTTTATTTTAGTAGAGTTTAGTTTTGTTTTACACATAAACTCACAGGTATGGTATGCATGGCGGCTCCACTTCTGCTAGCGCCGCTCTGTACGCTCGGAAGGACGATGAACTGTCAATCAAGGTGCAGTACTCCTCCAAACCCTGGAAACACAGAGAAAGATGAAAGACAGTCTTTTTGTATTTCATATGATTGGCTACTATTGGATGATTTTCTTCAGTTGTGTTAGGTTTGGCAGTGAGAAGGAAGTCAGACTGGTGTGACTGACCTCAGACGTCTGTTTCTGCCATTCCAGTCGTCTGATTGGTGCAGAGTCCAGCGCCGAGAGAATCGCCAAATAAGAGTTGAAGTTATTCAGTTTCCGCAAGTGCTACGAGTGAGACAAAACCATTAAATCACTCAGAAAACACAGAGAGTGATGCATTCAGAATCACCCCACAGCCACAAATAGAGCCTAAAGCAGTTTAGAGTAATTGATTGTGGATGATCAAGATTTTGGCATGGTAATGTTCACATGTGTGTGTGTTACTCGAGTTACCTTCATGATTTTGATGAATTTGAGCAGCAGTTTCTCTCTGTCCTGAGCTTTCTCCTGCTGGATGATGATAGAGCGCACCCTAGTGGACAGGAGGAATCACATTTCAGTACACACACATGGACGACATATTGAGCGAGTATGGGGAATATGTAGTAGGGCATGAGGGTGGAATATAGGGTTACAGCTTGATAAAAAACTATTGTCATATCATATACACACAGAAACTCAAAATTCTTGATGGCAGCCTGTCAACTCAAAACTCGCGTTTGAATCGTCAGTGGCAAATTCTTTAAATATAAAAATGTCCTTACAGGCTGTGAGTCAGAAGTGCCAGACTGTCCTTGTAAAGTTGGAATTGCCCAACTTTATAGAAACAGACACCGGCATTGTAGGCTACTCTCCCAGGAAACAGTCCTTCTCCTCCATAAAATGCGCTGGACACATCTGAATATTTGGGTTGAAGTGTTCTGGAACAGTGTTGTAAATACAACTTA